TAGTCTTACTTGTTTTGAAAATTTGTTGACTACTTAGTAACTGTCGTTTTTCTCCTTCTTCTGGTGAGAGAGACCTCGTGTTCATCGATTTTGTTTTTATATATGTTCGAATTTTCGAATAAATCTGAGAAAATTTCCGCGGTTTATTGGTTTTTTTTTTCTCTTCGAAGAAGAAGAAGAACGGTTGATGATTTTCTCACACAAATTTCTATGCGTTTTTTTTTTCAATTCTGGAAAAATTCTTCGGAAAATTCGAGTTTCGCTTCTTTACCTTGTTTGGAAGAGATATTTTCTTTTTTCCTTTTTTTTTTCCCGGAGAAATTGCCTTTTTCCTGCCTGCTACTTCACGTGGTTATCGAAAGCAGAAGCAACCTTACTTATCTTTTTCTTTTCTTTTTTTGTTTCCCAGTAGGTTTTGGAATTAGGGATTGAGTTTCGTTTTCTCTCCAGCGACGACAACGATGAGACGCCGAGGAAGCGATCTGGAGTCCGGTAAAAGCGAAAACGCCGACTCCGATAGCGACACTTTCTACATCCCATCCAAAAACGCTTCAATCGAGCGACTCCAACAATGGAGAGTAAGACCTAGCTTCTTCTGATTTACATACATAGATTTTTTCATATACGCTTTGGTTTGTTTGGTTGTTTGCGACTCTGCCTCTTACTTTGTAAGGCAGAATTTGTAAATCGAGATGGTAATGGTGTGTTATCGCAGAAAGCTGCACTGGTGCTCAATGCTTCACGGAGATTCCGTTACACCTTGGACTTGAAGAAGGACCAAGAGACGAGAGAAATGAGACAGAAGATTAGAAGTCACGCTCATGCTCTTCTGGTAAATTTATTTGGCTTCTGGTGAACCTATGGCGTGTTTTGGAGCCTTTTTACTGACTTAGTCTCTTTAATATCTTCGTTAGGCTGCAAATCGTTTCATGGATTTTGGGCGTGAGCAAGGTAATTTTGGCAAATTGTGTGCTTTGTTGTTGTGAGTTAACTGGTTCTAGTATGTTCGACTTAGTTGGTGTGGTCTTCTTTATCTCCAGGAGTTAAACCAACGGCTGCTGCAACTCCAGCTGGTGATTTCGGAATCGGACCTGAACAGCTTTTGATCATGTCCAAGGATCACAATGTTGGTTCCCTGCAGGAATATGGAGGGGTGAGTTTTCAATCTTGAACCGTGTGGTCTCTTTGTTGCTTGTCTCTATTGTATCTTATTGGTATGCACGAATTTTGTTGGTGGGAAATTGCATCAGGCTCAAGGATTGTCAAACTTGCTCAAGACTAATCCGGAGAAAGGTATCAGTGGAGATGATGATGACTTGCTAAAGCGGAAGAACATTTATGGTTCAAACACCTATCCTCGCAAGAAAGGGAAAGGGTTTCTGGTATGACTAAACAAATTTATTTAGTAGTTCTGTGTTGCTACACCTTAGGTTATCCCTGCTCGGTTTCTTATAAAGCCTGTTGGTTTCTTGTTTTTCATTACAGAGGTTTCTTTGGGATGCTTGTCATGATCTCACATTGATCATTTTGATGGTGGCTGCTGTAGCGTCTTTAGCACTTGGGATAAAAACAGAGGTTTGTTGAATTAATTAAATCTAGCTCTTCCCTCTTTCTTTCACTAATGCAATGTCGAGGAATTTAACTGTTTTGGGTAACAATAATCAACAGGGTATCAAAGAAGGATGGTATGATGGAGGAAGCATTGCATTTGCTGTGATTCTCGTGATTGTTGTGACAGGTAATCTTAAACCTGTTTCACTGAATATAAGAATTTCGAGAATGACTGTTGTAGCGATATTCTGATGCTTTCTTCTCTTCTGCAGCTGTCAGTGACTACAAACAGTCACTTCAGTTTCAAAACTTGAATGATGAAAAGAGAAACATACATCTGGAGGTATAAATTTGCACTACTAATGTAGTTTTTCTTTCTTTTCACATACCTCTCTTTTTCTTGTTTCCTCCTTAGTTACACTACGCTTTCTGTTGATTGCCGCACAGGTTATAAGAGGTGGAAGACGAGTGGAAGTTTCAATCTATGACCTTGTGGTCGGTGATGTCATACCCCTCAACATTGGCAATCAAGTAAGTGATTTATCCTTCTCGGTTTAGTGTTTGTTGGGTTCATATTGTCATGTGTCTAACTGAAAGCGAAAATTATCATTAGGTTCCTGCAGATGGAGTGCTGATAGCTGGCCACTCTCTTGCCCTTGATGAGTCTAGCATGACTGGAGAGAGCAAAATCGTGTGTTTTTGTTTCCTATCATAGTCGCGTTGTTGATTTTCTCCTTTCTTTTTTTGGTATAACTCTTTAACGGTCGACTTCTCTTTTCCTGTTAGGTTAACAAAGACGCTAACAAGGACCCATTCCTAATGTCTGGATGTAAAGTGGCAGATGGAAATGGTGTTATGCTGGTAGGGAGTCCTCCCTAATTTTTCTTGTTCCATAGTAAAATAGTTAAAACGAACTGATAACTCGAGGCGATGTTGTTATTTTTCTCTTTTATTCTATGTGATATGTATGCTCCTTTCTTTCTCCAAGGTTACTGGTGTTGGAGTCAACACTGAATGGGGATTGCTGATGGCCTCTATTTCTGAAGACAATGGTGAAGAAACTCCCTTACAGGTAGATTAATTAGAACATAGTTAATTGAATCTTTTCATTTTGACAAATCGAGCTAATCTTTGATGGGTTTGACACAGGTTCGCTTAAATGGGGTAGCTACTTTTATTGGTTCCATTGGTTTAGGAGTTGCTGCTTGTGTGCTAGTGATTCTTCTGGTTCGGTATGGATGCCATTTTTGATGCTTATTATTTGGGAACTCAGCCATATCATTATCACTGCATGAGAATTGAGAACAATTCTGTATGTTGTCCTCTTTGTTTTACAGATATTTCACCGGTCACACTAAAGATGTGGGTGGAGGTCCTCAATTCGTTAAAGGAAAGACAAAAATCGGTCATGTAGTTGATGATGTGGTCAAAGTTATCACCGTTGCGGTATGTTTCCTTGTTATCCATAATAGAGAGCTGGCAGTAAAAATCTACAATTTTCTTTAGGAATACTAATACTCTGCTATTGCTGCAGGTTACAATTGTCGTAGTGGCAGTTCCGGAGGGTCTTCCATTGGCTGTTACTTTAACGTTAGTATATTGTATCTTGGCTATATCAGAAAGTCTTGTTTCCCTTCCACTACTTTTTTGTGGTAGTTTCATAGTTTTGAGAGTTCACGTCTCTTTTGCTGATTATATCTACTTGTCTACTATTTTGTTCTGTTTCAGCCTTGCCTATTCAATGAGGAAAATGATGGCAGATAAGGCTTTGGTATGAATATCTTTCTTGTGTGATGGTAGTACTATACATGGTTCTTTTAGCAGTCCTATTACATAGCATGACAAAACGTTGATGTGCAGGTGCGGAGGCTATCTGCTTGTGAGACAATGGGCTCTGCCACCACTATTTGCAGCGATAAAACTGGAACACTGACTTTGAATCAAGTGTGTTTTTGTTCTTGCTCTATGTTAGAGTTATAGGCTTGAGTAAACAGTTTGGTCATTTGTTACTAACATGTTTTTCTTTTTCTTAAAAAAAATAGATGACAGTGGTTGAGTCTTATGCCGGGGGCAAGAAAACAGATACTGAAAAATTGCCAGCAACTATCACGTCGCTAGTTGTTGAAGGAATATCTCAAAATACAACTGGTAGTATTTTCGTCCCTGAGGTAAGTTTAAAGTTTTGATATTTTAACCGAAGAACCTGACTCTATAGAAGATAATACTTATGTGATTTTATTTTCTGATAGGGTGGCGGTGAGTTAGAGTATTCTGGTTCACCAACGGAAAAAGCCATTCTTGGCTGGGGAGTTAAGGTTTATTTCTTAACTTTTTATCCTTTCAAAGCTCAACCACATTTATATGCCGATGAGTGGAAGAGTGATTTGTATGTTTTTTCTCTTTCAGCTCGGAATGAACTTCGAGACAGCCAGATCACAGTCTTCTATTCTTCATGCTTTTCCGTTCAACTCAGAGAAGAAACGTGGTGGTGTTGCTGTAAAAACGGTAAGAAGTCTACTGCTAAAATGTATTTTAGATACTAAGAGTTTAGTGATAATATCACTTTTCTTGATTCCTTTCTTGTCTTAGGAATGTTTGTAGTCTTCTTTTGTAAGATTTCTTGAAAGAAAATAAGCCTGCGTGATCTCCTATAGTCAAAATAATATCGATGCAGTTAGAAGTGATTTGGCTCTCCCACTTCTCTATTAGCTTAATTTAGTTTTTTTATTTGTATATTTCTTATTACTTTTCAGGCTGATGGTGAAGTTCATATTCACTGGAAAGGAGCTTCAGAAATTGTCCTAGCATCATGCAGAAGCTACATCGATGAGGATGGTAATGTGGCACCAATGACTGAAGACAAGGTTTGTGAAAAGTCTAATCTACTAACACCCTCTAAAACTTGGTGTGTGTGATTCTGTGATTTACCGGTGGGTTTTCATGACTCTTACCCAATCCAATATCTTTGATGTCTCTAGGCATTGTATTTCAAGAATGGCATCGAAGAGATGGCTGGAAGAACCTTACGATGTGTCGCACTGGCCTTTAGAACCTATGAGGCTGAAAAGGTCCCAACAGGTGAAGAACTCTCAAAGTGGGTATTGCCAGAGGATGACCTTATCTTACTAGCTATAGTAGGCATAAAGGTGAGGATTAATTTGGTTTATTCATGTACATTTTACTTTATTCAGAGCTTACTCATACATACAATTTGTGATTGCTTTTAATCTTCTATTTTTCTGCTTGACATTGCGTAGTACTCCATATATATATTATATTTGTACACACTTTCGTTGGAATGCAGTCTTCTTATCAAATGTTTTAAATTTGCACAGGATCCATGTAGACCGGGAGTCAAAGAATCAGTTCAGTTGTGTCAAAATGCTGGTGTCAAGGTACTTCTTTACTTCTAGTTTCTTAAAGTGGAATTGTGAAAATATTATTTTTTAGCCTGCTAATAATTCTGCATGATCACTTCATGATATTTGTTGATTTTCAGGTCCGTATGGTTACTGGTGACAACATCCAAACTGCCAGAGCTATTGCTTTGGAGTGTGGGATATTAACTTCAGATGCAGAGGCCTCCGAGCCTAATCTCATTGAAGGAAAATCATTCCGTGCCTTGACTGATGCAGAAAGGGATAAGATTAGTGGCAAAATCTCGGTACGGTTCAAAACACTACTTTCCAATTCATAAAGTTTGTATGTTTTGGTAGGTAATTTGAATGTCTTAGTCCCATTCTATGTAGAGGTTTGACATATCTTCAGGCATCAGCCCCTGAACATCAGTTGCTCGAGTTTTTGTAATATAATATAACATCCTAAATTGAAATTCACCTGGTTGCTTTACATGTGAAGGTTATGGGCCGTTCATCACCCAATGACAAGCTTCTGCTGGTACAATCTCTGAGAAGGCAAGGGCATATTGTTGCTGTCACCGGAGATGGGACAAATGATGCTCCTGCATTGCATGAGGTATAGAAATTCCCAAACAATAGAAGAAATTTACTTAATTTAAACTGATTCTGTCAAAATCTGCATTTAAGTTTCTTTTGCCAAGTATTTTCTCTATACTTGCTCAGAGAGCCGGTCATTTTCTGATTGGTGTTTTAACTTTTTGAATGGATTTGCAGGCTGATATTGGTCTTGCTATGGGAATAGCAGGAACAGAAGTGGCTAAGGAGAGTTCGGACATCATCATTTTGGATGACAACTTTGCTTCAGTTGTCAAGGTTTGTTTAAAATCACCTTTTTCCTCTTCCTAGATTCCTTTGTTGTCAAGTTATTCCGAATACATGTATTTGGGGCAAACTCCAGAATGTGTTTCTTGAAATGGAATTTGAATATTCAATATTCCAACCTTAAACTTGGGTGGCTTCTGATATATATAGGTTGTCCGTTGGGGGAGATCAGTCTACGCCAACATTCAGAAATTCATCCAGTTTCAGCTCACTGTCAATGTCGCTGCTCTCGTCATTAACGTTGTTGCTGCTATATCTAGTGGTGACGTTCCACTTACCGCTGTGCAGGTTTGAGATTCTGTTGCATTTGACATTTTTTTTTAATGACTCTTTCAAACTTGATATATATATATAGTTGTGATAATTCATTTGACGATTTCTTTAATATACAGCTTCTTTGGGTTAATCTGATAATGGACACTCTCGGTGCATTAGCTTTGGCTACTGAACCACCGACTGATCACCTCATGGGGAGACCTCCTGTGGGCAGAAAGTAATTTATTTGCAGCTTTTGGTTTCTCACTTTTAAACTTTAAAAGACATTTGGTGACTTATCGATGTTTATTTGCTTTTTCTTTTTGCAGAGAGCCTCTTATTACCAACATCATGTGGAGAAACTTAATGATTCAGGTAAAAAAAGATTGATGAAAAACTCCATTTTTTTGTCACGATGAAAAGAACATCATTATTTGAAATCACCCCTATACTAATAGGAGACTGAAATATAAATCTTTCAGGCTATCTATCAAGTGAGTGTATTGTTAGTCCTCAATTTCAAAGGCATAAGCATACTTGGCCTTGAACATGAAGTTCCCGCACATGCCACCAGAGTGAAGAACACATTGATCTTCAATGCATTTGTTCTCTGCCAAGTGAGTAAATTAGAATAAAAATTAAGGTTTCGATTATGTAGACAACAACTAAATATGTTTTATCGATTTTTTCTCTTTTTGTGTTAACAGGCTTTCAACGAGTTCAATGCCCGTAAACCAGACGAGAAGAACATTTTCAAAGGAGTTATCAAGAATCGTCTCTTCATGGGAATAATAGTCATAACTCTCGTCCTCCAGGTAAACAATAAGTTGGTCCATAACAAATACTGTACTCATTCATTTCACATTGATAATAAATCAAAACGTCTTTTGTCTGTCAGGTTATCATTGTTGAGTTCCTTGGTAAATTTGCTTCTACGACAAAACTGAACTGGAAACAGTGGTTAATATGCGTTGTCATCGGTGTGATCAGGTTATTTTCTTTTCTTTTCCGCTGTTTACAAGTTGATACATTATGTATACATAACTAGCGTTTAAATGTTTGCAATGTTGAACAGTTGGCCTCTTGCTCTCGTCGGGAAATTCATTCCGGTGCCAAAAACTCCTATCAGCAACAGACTGGCATTACTAAAATGCTGGGGAAAGAAGAAAAAATCTTCTGGAGAAGGTATAACAACTTACACAGCCTATGAGTATCACTGGACTATCTTTAATATCATATAAAACCAAACTAATAATAAAAAATGACGAGAAAAAGTTCTGTTTGGGCTATCTTTTGGTATTAACAAATTTTCTTTGTCTCAGGTTCACTCTGATTTGGAGGCCGGTTTATCTCTCAGAAGAGTCTTGAGTTTTAAGAGTTACTTTTAGGACTAACAGGGAAAAAAAAACGTTTGGTTTGGTATGGATTTATTGATATTTTCAGTCAACCCCCAAAAGTACA